CCGGAGCACGAACCCACATCCCCTGCATCGGCAGGCGGACTCTCAACCACTGCGCCACCAGGGAAGCCCTCTGCTCAATTTTTAAGTAAACCTGAAGCGGTTTTTTAAAATAGTCTCTTCTTTTTTAAAAATAGTGTTCTTTTAGCCATGAAATGTACCACAAGTATAAAGTTTTTTTAGGAGTTTCATAGTATATCTTTAAAATCATGTGAATGTTTTGCTCTGTTTATTTACACATAAATAACTATTTTATCATTAAAATTTCCCCTGAAACTTTTCAATAAAATAAATGACCCCTAGGGATATGATTCCTGTGTTGAGAAGCCTGACATTGGTTGGCAGGCAGTCACTGAAGTCGTATGTTAAAAGTGAAACAAAAATAAACCAGTAAAATGATGAGCAAACAATTTTTCTTGCAACCCAGACGTTTTTTGCATCCTTATTTTCATTTTGCAGTATTCATACAGAAGCATATACACTGACTTTAACTCAGTCAACCTTTACTTTGTCTACAGAAGAACTTTGCAATAGGCATGATGAGAAATAGTTGATGAACCCACTTTTGTGGATATTGCAGTTGAGACAAGAGAGGTGTATTTTGATAGGAAAGTAATATATACTAAGAAAAATGGATAGAGAAATAGAAAATAAGCATGCTGAGGAGATGGGCAAAGTAAATGGAGTGACGTGGGTTAGGTAGGTTTAGATGAAATTTGTTCAGTGGCTGCCCCTGTCATTAGGAGCACACACTTTTTTCTGGATGTCATTGAGACCCCGTATGACCTTTAAGCTATCGCCAGTGTAGTGTTTGTACTGTAACACAGATAACTTCAACTTGTTTGGGTACTTATTCATGTAGATATTCAGACATGTGAACCCAAACCGTGCCTGATGCGTCCTCTTGGAACCACTGAAGCACATTCACAGCCCTAGTCTCCTTATTTGTGTTTTCAAGGCGCTTTGTTTGTCCTATGAAGACCACGGCTGGAATCTTTAACCTCTTGCAAGAGTCAGCCTTTGAGAGCTACATTCTTTAGCTCTCTGCTTGCTGGGAAAAAACAAGAGGCCCATTCCCAGATACCCTTAGGAAAGCCATCCTGCTCTGATGAGAGCAGGGCTGTTTGTAGGACATTGATATGGGTATGCCGTACACGTGACACTATTAGAGGGTCCTCAACTGTAACGTCCAGGTAAGGGGTGACTTCCCTCCATTAGTTCAACAGCCTGGACGGCACTAAGAAGGTGGCTGTGTTCTCTGCTCTCCTCATGACGCCAGGTGACGTAGGTGATGCCACTTGACCCAAGACTCTTTCTGTTCCCTTTCTGTGGATCTTTACAAGATGGCACTGTCCCCCAGGACTAACGTCATAGCTATTCTTTTCTCCATTTCAGAAATTACCATGGTGGACACAGAGATGCCGTTTTGGCCCACCAACTTTGGGATCAGCTCCGTGGACCTTTCTGTGATGGACGACCACTCCCACTCCTTTGACATCAAGCCCTTCACCACCGTTGATTTCTCCAGCATTTCCGCTCCACACTATGAAGACATTCCGTTCCCAAGAGCTGACCCAATGGTTGCGGATTATAAGTATGACCTGAAACTCCAAGAGTACCAAAGTATGAGGTTTATTTCACTTTTCAGACTACTGAGACTAGAATTGGACTAATCTGTCATTCACACTGGGGTAAATGCTCCAGAGACTAAAGCCTATAGTGAAGCCGTTTACCATTCATTTATTCACCCATTGATCCATGAAATAGTGGGCATTTATAATTGACCAAAAAGGAAGGTAGTGTGTGAACACCCCAGATCATCCTTCTCTGTCCCCGCCCCCCCACCCCCACTTCCTGCCTGCCTCCCTTCTTTCTTTCTTTTCTTCTTTCCTTCTCAGGGACATTTTCCAGCATGAGTACCTTGCCAGGTACATCTCAGGCTAAGAGTCCATCCCCCCCAAACTTTGAATTCTTTTTTCCACTTGTAAGTAGATAAGGAACATTTTGTCACTTTTTATAACTTATCTCTAAATCACTATTGCATCTTTAGTAATTCTGCAGTTTGAACAGCTTACAGTGAAACCTATTTTTCAGCACAAATTTAAATGTTGACGTTGCCGCCTATTGATAAATCTCCATGCCATTAACGCAGATCACATCAAGCCATCAGGCTTGAGAAAAACTAAAGCTGCACTTTTCAAGATTAAATTTCTATGATGCTCTTTCCTTGATTTTTATCTCTTTGCTGATATGCTGTTTTTCCAGAGCCACCACCATGTAACTGCAGCCATTACTTGACAATAAGTAAGAACTTCCTGTAGTTCTAGTTGTTTTTTTTTTTAAGATAAATGATATACTTGGTTATATTTATATGTGTGGCTTTCAGTTGGAGCCTGATATGAAAATTTAACAGGCCTGATCCTGACCAATGGAAAGATAGTGCTTGCTTTCTATAGGGCCTCTCTCTATCAGAGATCATTTTACAAACCATCTTTTCTGACTCAACATTGATGGGAACCTGGTCTCTTATTTTTCATGTACCTTCAAGCTGGGCTTACCATACCTTTTCATGGCAATGTTCCTTCTGTTTCCTTTGCAAGAGTGGTTTTAAAACACTTCTAAAATGCAATATTTAAATTAAAATGTATAATTTAATATTGTCACGAATGCCAAATACAGCACATTATGTAGCAAAATAACCTTAATGATCTCAAATACCATATGTTGCCTGTTAGAGCTTTAGTATTACGAGGTATTGGACGGTCATAGAACCACAAAGTTAAAAGTTAACCACAAAGTTAACCCCCTTTTTTTTTCCACAGGTGGGGCTCAGAGGTGTCGCAACTTGCCTGTGATTACAAAGCCTAGTTTTTCCTGTGTATTTTTCATGTTCCGTAGTGCATCTGACTTAAATAATAAAATAATGGCAGTAAGGTGTACTATAGTGACTTGCCCTGTTGCTTGTCGAGCATTGTTTTTCATGTGATGATTACCTGCTCATGTTCTTCTGTACACAGGTGCAATCAAAGTGGAGCCTGCATCCCCCCCTTACTATTCTGAAAAGACTCAGCTGTACAATAAGCCTCATGAAGAGCCTTCCAACTCCCTCATGGCAATTGAATGCCGTGTCTGTGGGGATAAAGCTTCAGGGTTCCACTATGGAGTTCATGCTTGTGAAGGATGCAAGGTAAAAAAACATTTTTTCTTTTTTGAAATAATTTGCTGAAAATGTACCTATTATTTCATTTCCTGTTGCAAATGGATGGCAAAGAACTGAGATAGCATTGTCAAGCTTTTAAATATTTTTGACAAAACCCATTCTTCAAATGACATAATACTTGAAAACCTAAGAAAATTGTTCAAAGCAAGGCTACTTTGCCTCACTTCCCTTTTTCCAAATTGGTCCTATGCAGCACCATCTAATTTGAACCTTGCATTTTGCAGATTAAAAAAAAAAAAAAAGTCACTCGTTCAAGGTATCATGGAAAGACAGTGATGAGCTGACGCAGACCGGTATCTGGATTTCCTGAATATTCGATATTGTTTTTCACTATACCATGGAATATTCTGTGTATGTACGACCCAATAGATAGATAGATAGATAGGTAAGTAGGTAGGTAGATAGGTAGGTAGGTAGATAGATAGATAGATAATCTTCATTTGAGCCTTAGAACAGTTCTATAAAGTCAAGCTGATTTATGGCCACTTTACAGGTGTAGAAATCATGAATCAGTGAGACTTGCCCATGATCATCCATCAGTAAGTGGCAGAGCTAGGACCAGAACATGTATCTTTTTTTTTTTTTTTTTTTTTTTTTTTGTGGTACACGGGCCTCTCACTGTTGTGGCCTCTCCTGTTGCGGAGCACAGGCTCCGGACGTGCAGGCTCAGCGGCCGTGGCTCACGGGCCCAGCCGCTCCGCAGCGTGTGGGATCCTCCCAGACCGGGGCACGAACCCGTGTCCCCTGCATCGGCAGGCAGACTCTCAACCACTGCGCCACCAGGGAAGCCCCAGAACATATATCTTAGGACTCCTAAACCAATGCTGTGTGCTTTCCAGTTCCAGCATCAGTTTGAGCTATGTGTTAGGAGCAGGCAAAGCGATGTAACTATTTTGGAAAGGAGGTACTCTTTCTCCTCACCTCTTTTCTTTGTGAAAAAGGGTATTTTGGAAAGTTCATTTAGTAATATTCTGCCCAATTATTAAGAAAATGTTAACCTACTCTTATTTTTATTTTAAAAATTTAATTAATTAATTTGGCTGTGTTGTGTCTTCGTTGCTGTGCGCGGGCTTTCTTTAGTTGTGGTGAGTGGGGGCTGCTCTTTGTTGCATTGCGTGGGCTTCTCACTGCGGTGGCTTCTCTTGTTGCGGAGCACAGGGCTCTAGGCGCACAGGCTTCAGTAGTTGTTGCATGCAAACTCAGTAATTGTGGCTCACCGGCTCTAGAGCGCAGTCTCCATCATTGTGGTGCACGGGCTTAGCTGCTCCACGGCATGTGGGATCTTCCTGGACCAGGGCTCGAACCTGTGTCCTCTGCATTGGCAGGCGGATTCTTAACCACTGCACCACCAGGGAAGTCCCTCTACTCATATTTTAAAATGTAGTTCGTATTTTAAAAGAATTAATTCTAATAGGCTCAATGAATAAAATAGTAATCGAATAGTACTTATTATATACTGTAGGGCTCAGAATAAATTGTTCATAAATACTTACCTTATAAAATAATGCTGCTTATAAAAGGTAAGATCAGATTCAACCCTCAGTTGGGCTTTTTTGTTCAGAATAAAGATATATGACAGCAGTTAGGTAGGTGTTAGAATATCTGGGTTCCTAACTGGACCACGGGCCAAAAAAGGAAGTTAATATTTATTGAATTTCTACTATGCGCCAGATATTGTGCAAGATGCTTTTGCATATTATCATTTTTAAACCATATTCTGTCTAAGTTTTCACATCTATAAAATGATGGTGTTGAATTTGATGATCTCTAAAACCTCTTCAGTCCAATAGTTTATTACTCCGAAGGCAATTTAATAAAGTGAAAGAGACAAGCTAGTGGTCACCTGGCCACTTGCCCAAGGTCCCTAACCAAGCACATGAGCACTTCAGCCTTCAGACACCTCGTGTGAAAAACAGCTTGGTTAGATTAGCTCCCCAAGGGCTTCTTATACATCTCTAAGTTCTAAAATTCCAAAATGACTCCTTGAAATACTACTGGCAAGAGATGGCTTTCGTTTAAAACACGAAAACCCATTCATTCTGTGATTGAAACCAAACTAAAATATCTGTGATCTTATATGAAATCATTATCTTCCCAAGGAGTAGTAAGAACATGTCATTTTATTGAGTTAGATTTATATAATTTTGAGGAAATAGTGGCTAAATTTTGAGAAATACCCAAAGAAATCATTTACTTTTGGTCATCTTGGTAATTTATGCTGATAAATAAATAAAAGCATGGTTGGCTAAGTTTCCACAATAAATTATTATTTTTATGGGCTGGTAAAACACTTAGAAAACTAGAAGGCTTAAGCAAATAGTTTCACTGTGATTCTGTTCATCAGATATTTGTAGAGAGGTTTCTTTTTTCTTTCTGAAATTTTTTTTTAATTTTTAAATTTTATTTTATTTTTTTAAACAGTAGGTTCTTATTAGTCATCAATTTTATACACATCAGTGTATACATGTCAATCCCAATTGCCCAATTCATCACACCACCACCAACAACCCCCGGGGCTTCCCCCCTTAGTGTCCATACGTTTGTTCTCTACATCTGTGTCTCAACTTCTGCCCTGCAAACCGGTTCATCTGTACCATTTTTCTAGGTTCCACCTACATGCGTTAATATACGATATTTGTTTTTCTCTTTCTGACTTACTTCACTCTGTATGACAGTCTCTAGATCCATCCACGTCTCAACAAATGACCCAATTTCGTTCCTTTTTATGGCTGAGTAACATTCCATTGCATATATGTACCACATCTTCTTTATCCATTCATCTGTCGATGGGCATTTAGGTTGCATCCATGTCCTGGCTATTGTAAATAGTGCTGCAATGAACATTGGGGTGCATGTGTCTTTTTGAATTATGGTTTTCTCTGGGTATA